ATTATTTATTAATTTTAAGGCTTCATGCCTTTTTTGTAAACCCTAGCCCAACCCAAATGAGATTAAGAAAGATACTACCCAGCCATTTAAACTGCTGACCATAACCCTTCTTGATCCCCCCCATTGCCCTATTTATCTAGTCAATAAGTAAATAGCCTGGGATAAAGTAGTATGATGAATGGCATTCCTTCCTTTAATACTTATTTACTGAGTACTTGTTCTGTGAAAGGTCCTAGTTACAAAGAATGGAGAGAAAAAACATGGGTAGGACCATAGAACTTCAAAATCCTTACAGTCCAGTAAAGAAAAATAGCCCCATAACACAATTATGCACAGAAGAACAAGAATATGTACCATAAAATAAATACCAGCAGGATTTGAGCCGGATATTACAAGGTTACATGGGCATTACAGAGGAAGTTTTACAATGACGATCAGCACACAGGGAAGGGACAGGGTATGCTTGACAACCCAGGTAAGCAGCTCTGTCTTACTTGGGTAAATCTGTGAGAAGCTGTGCCCAGCTGTGGACTGCTAGCTGATAGCAGTCAACTAGCAGCAGATCCTGGCAGCCAACGCCAAGAGGCTCTCTCTGAACAGACACTGGGGGTCAACTCTGCATCAGCAAAAAAATCATATTCAGGGCAAGAGCCTCTCAACACAAGCAGCAAAGGCCAAATGTCAAAGGACAAGAGAGATTATTTGTTTATTCTCTGTCAATATCATTTTCAAAATGGTAAATTCAAACATCACACAGTTTCTCAGGTGTCATCCCTTCTGCCATGGTAAGAAAGCCACCTGTTTGTAACAGAGCAAAAGAAAACATAAATCATGGGGTTCGAATGATGTTACCAAAAGACATAATTTACATACCAACAACTGCGGGAGGGGAAGATGAGACAAAGATGATTTAAAGCCAGATTTTCATCATTGAAAAGTACATGTCTATGGTGTTTGTGTAGCCATGTTAGAGGGCTATGGGTATTTAGGATTCTACTTATCAAAATACAGATTTTACAACATCACAGGAAAAGAAAACTACAAACCAGTATCTTGTGAATATAGACACACAAATCCTAAGCAAAATACTACCAAACTGAATACAGCAGCACATGAGAAGAATGAGATAACCAAACTGAATACAGCAGCACATGAGAAGAATAAAACCATGGTCACACCATCCCCAAGGGTGTGATTAAGAGCTGTTTTAATTCATTCTTTTCTGATCTTAGACTCTCACAGAATATCACGTGAGGTGTATGGACAGATGATCATTTTCAAACAAGAATTTTAAAGCTCTATCCTGCTTTTCCTTTTACCTCTTGATTGAAGAGGTTTGGTTTATGATAACCTCAAAGGCAACAACTCAAGGCAAGTCAATTTTTTAAAAACCTGACACATGAAGGAGATATTGGAAAAGGAAGCCATGTCAGCCATTGCTGGCAATTTTTGTGGAGGCCAGTGGGCAGCTGAAGTAATTGCCTCAAATTCCTGTCACTTCCAACCCTACTCTGTCCACCTTTAATCCATCTGTCTGGATCCCCAGAATGATAAGCATAGCTATTCCACTTTCCAACCCCCCATCTTAAAAAGAAAGCCACCCTCAAGTAATTTCCTCTACTGGCTTTCCAAATAGAACCTGCTGTACCTCACACACAAAGATAATCCTCCTTGCAAGCAACCCCAGAACCTCATCAGCCATTAAGCATTTGCTTCCATTCAGTTTTCAAACTGTGTTAATAAGTTTATATAGACCTAGGCCATTCCATTCCCAGATTATTCGAAGGCCTCAAGACCACACATAAATGAGAATATCAATATGGGAAGGTATCTTATAAAACCAGGAAATTAAATAAGAAAAGCTAACGTACAAAACTTTCTGACTCGTTATATGAGGCTAGTATTACCATTGTAATGAAACTAGACAAATCATCACAGGAAAAGAAAACTACAAACCAGTATCTTGTGAATACAGACACACAAATCCTAAGCAAAATACTACCAAACTGAATACAGCAGCACATGAGAAGAATGAGACACCACAATCAAGTGGGAGGCATTCCAGGAAAGCCAGGTTGGTTTAACACCCCAAATCAATTAGAATAAGAGAATAAAATGACATGATTATGTTAACAGCTACCGAAAAAGCATGTGACAAAATTCAACACCATTTCATGATAAAAACACTTAGCAACTAAGAATAGAAGAGACCTTCTTTACTCTGATAAAAAGCATCTATAAAAACCCAACAGCTAACATCACCCTCAATAGTGAAAGACTGAATGCTTCCTACTGAGATTAGGAAGACAAAGATCTGCTCTCAATACTTCTATTCAGTATTGTACTGAAGGCTCTAGACAGGGCAACTAAGTTAAGAAAATGAAATTAAAAGGATTACACAGGAAGAAGTAAAACTATTGCTATTTGTAGATAATATTAGTTCATGTATAAAAAAATCCTAAGGAATCCACTAAAAAACTACTAGACCTAATAAACAGGAACAACAAGGTTGGAGGTCATAAGACCAATACACCAAAATTAACTGTATTTCCATACACTTTCAATGAACAACCTGAAAATGAAATTAAGAAATCAATTCCAGGCCGGGCGCAGTGGCTCACACCTGTAATCCCAGCACTTTGGGAGGCTGAGGCGGGCGGATCATGTGGTCAGGAGATGGAGACCATCCTGGCCAACATGATGAAACCCCATCCCTACTAAAAATACAAAAAAATAGCCAGGCATGGGGGCGGGCGCCTGTAGTCCCAGCTACTCAGGAGGCCGAGGCAGGAGAATGGCGTGAGTCTGGGAGGTGTAGCTTGCAGTGAGCCAAGATCGTACCACTGCACTCCAGGCTGGGCGACAGAGAGAGACTCCATCTCAAAAAAAAAAAAAAAAAGATTCCATTTATAACAGCACAAAAAAGAATAAAATACTTCAGAATAAATTTTGCAAAAGATGTGCAAAATGTATACTCTGAAAACCATAAAACATTTTGAAAAAATTTTAAAAGACAGATAAATGGAAAGACATCCAAGTTCATGAATCAGAAAACTTAAGATTAAGATAGTAAGCCTGGGCAACATAGCAAGAGCCCTGTCTCTATGTAAAAAAAAAAAGAAAAAGAAAAAGAAAAAAAAAGGTTAAGATGGTAATCATCAACCTAAATGCCCTTCAATGATAGACTGCATAAAGAAAATTTGGGGCCAGGCACAGTGACTCAGGTCTGTAATCCCAGCACTTTGGGAGCTCAAGGCAGATGGATAACTTGAGGCCAGGAGTTGGAGACCAGCCTGGCCAACATGGCGAAACCTCATCTCTACCAAAAATATAAAACTTAGTCAGGCACGCTGGTGCACACCTGTAATCCCAGCTACTCAGGTGACTGAGGTGTGAGAATCGCTTGAACCCAGGAGGCGGAGGTTGCAGTGAGCCAAGATCATGCCACTGCACTGCAGCCTGGGCAACAGAATGAGACACTGTCTCAAAAAAAAAAAGAAAAAAAATGTGGTACTTCTACACCATGGAATACTATGTAGCCATAAAAACAAATGAGATCATATCCTTTGCAGGAACATGGATAGAGCTGGAGGCCATTATCCCTAACAAACGAACAAAGGAACAGAAAACCAAATGCCACAGATTACATGGACACATAGAGGAGGACAACACACAATGGGGCCTTTCGGAGGGTGGAGAACGAAAGGAGGCAGAGGATAAGGAAAAATAACTAATAGCTATTAGGCTTAATACCTGGGTGATAAAATAATCTGTACAACAAACCTCCATGACACAAGTTTACCTATGTAACAAACCACACTTTAAATAAACATTTTTTAAAAAGATGGTAATGATTTCCAAATTGATCTACAGAATCAACATAATGCCTATCAAAATCCCTACTGACTTCTTTGCAGAAACTGACAAGCTAATCCAAAAATTTGTAAGGAAATGCAATAAACTCAGGATAGTTAAAACTTCATCAAAAGTTTTGTACTTCAAAGGCCATCATCGAGAGAGAAAAGACAACTCACAGAATGAAAAAAATGTTTGCAAATCTGATAAGGAATTTGTATCTGAGAATATATTTAGAAACTATTATAACTCAATAATTTAGAATAACCCAATTAAAAATGGGAAAAGGATTTGAACAGATATTTCTCCGAAGAAGATGAACAAATAGTCAATAAACACATGAAAAGATGATCAATTTCATGAGCTCTGACGGAAATGCAAATCAAAACCACAATGACATAATACTTCATATTTACTAGAATAGAAGGGCTAGAATAAAAAAGACAGACAATAACAAGTGTTGACAAAAATGTAAAGACATTGGATCCCTGCTATATTGCTGCTGGGAATATAAGATGGTGCAGCCACTTGGGAAAACAGTCTGGCAGTTCCTTAAAAGGTTAAACAGAGTTACCATATGACCCAGCAATTCTACTCCTAAGTGTATACCCAAGGGAAATCAAAATATATGTCCAAACAAAATCTGTACATAAATATTCACAGCAGCATTATTCACCAGCCAAAAAGTACAAACAATCTAAATGCCCATTAACTGAAGGACAGATACATAAAATATGGTATGCTCACATCATGGAATATTACTTAGCAATAAAAACAATGAAGTATTGACACATACCATACTATGGACAAATCCTGAAAACATGCTAGGTAAAAGAAGACAATTGCAAAGAACTGACTTACATGATACCTTTCACATAAAATGTTCAGAAGAGACAAATCCATAGAGGTTGAAAATAAATTGGTGGTTGCCTAGGACTGGGCAGGCTAAGGAACATGGGGAGAGATTACTAATGGGTACCGGGTTTCTCTTTGGGGTAATGTCAATGTTGCAAAATTAGATAATGGCCATGGATACACAATTTTGTGAACTTACTAAAAACCCTGAATTGTATGCTTTAAATGAGTAAATTGTATAGTATGTGAATTACATATCAATCAAGTTGTTTTTTAAAAATCAACTTTACCTTGAGGGAGTTGGGTCATCTTGGCCAAGGCGTGACATAATATTTATCAAGGTGTTAATCCCTATTTAAAATAAAAACAAATACACAAGTAAATACGGATAGAAGAATTATAGGACCATCATATTACAGTAGAAAAAAATTATCTCATGTCAATGTGATTTTAAAAGATTTGGAATCTACCTGTCTAAAAGTGTAATAAACAATTATTTAAAACACTGGATAGGAAAAAGAAATTTTTCTAAAAAACTCATCAACCCTTATTATAGTTCTTGCTCAAAGTAAATATTATAAAAGAGTCCATGCGGTGGCTCTAGGCGCGGTGGCTCATGTCTGTAACCTCAGCACTTTGGGAGGCAGAGGCGGGTAGATCACTTGAGGTCAGGAGTTCAAGACCAGTCTGGCCAATATGGCAAAACCCTGTCTCTAATAAAAATACAAAAAAACTAGCCAAGTATGGTGGCATATGCCTGTAATCCCAGCTATTCAGGAGGCTAAGGCAGGAGAATCGCTTGAACCCAGCAGGCAAAGGTTGCAGTGAGCTGAGATTGTGCCACTGCACTCCAGCCTAGGTGACAGAGTGAGACTCTGTCTCAAAAAAAAAAAAGAGTCAGTAATCACTAGAATATGAAATGGTGAAAGAGTCACCCAGGGAACCATTCCTAGAAGCGAAATAATTTACAACAGAAAACACAGGCCAAAATAGGATCTTCACATCTTAAAATCATCCAGACATACCTTTCTTCCGCATGTGCATGTGATGAACTTTTCTGTCTCCATATTTGGGCTGCCGAATTCCACAGTTAGACAAAGAATTCCTGGCATGATCAGGATTCATTCCAAAATTTAAATGATGACTTGGATGAGTCATGGCCAGCTAAAATTTCAATAAAATAAGTTCAGTCTTTAAAACAGCATAAACTAGATGCAATGGTTCACACCTGTAATCCTAAGGTGGAAGGACCACTTTAGCCCAAGAGATCAAGACCAGCCTGGCAACACAGTGAGACGCCATCTCTACAAAAAATAAAAAATTAGCCTGGTGTGGTGGCACATGACTGGAGTCCCAGCTACTCAAGAGGCTGAGGTGGGAGGATCACTTGAGCCCAGGAGGTCGAGGCGGCAGTGAGCTATGATCACACCACTGCACTCTAGCCTGGGTGACAGAGGGAGACCCCGTCTCAAAAAACAAAAACAAAACAAAAACTCAGCATGGGGGCACCATCTTTGTATCATCCTAAATTAAGCAGGAAAGGGAGCTGTCTGTCCATTTAAATTTTAAGCCCTGATCTTTCCATCTTATCTCCCCAAGTATCTGCAAACAGACGACCTACAGAATGGCAGAAAATATTTGCATACTATATATCCAACAAAGGACTAATATCCAGAATCCACAAGGAACTAAAACAAATCAGCCAGAAATAATAATAATAATACTAATAATCCCATTAAAACGTGGGCAAATGACATGAACAAACATTTTTCAAAAGAAGATACAACCAACATGAAAGAATGTTCAACATCACTAATCATGAGGGAAATGCAAATTAAAACCACAAGGAGATACCACGTACCACTCTGCCCCAGTCAGAGTGGCCATTATTTAAAAATCAAAAAACAGCAGGTGTTGGTGTGATGCAGTGAAAAGGGAAGGCTTATAATACACTGAACTTTATATAAGCTATATGAATTAGTATAACCTCTACGAAAAACAGTATGGAGATTTCTCAAGAAACTAAAAGTGGATCTAACACTTGATTCAGTCCTCCCACTACTGTGTATCTACCCAAAGGAAAAGAAGTCATTCTATCAAAAAGACACCTGCACTTCTATGTTTACTGCAGCACAATTACAATTGCAAAGCTATGGAATCAACCTAAGTATCTATCAACTGATGAGTGGATAAAGAAAACGTGGGACACATATACCATGGAACACTACTCCACAATAAAAATAATGAAATAATGGCTTTTGCAGCAACTCAGTTGGAACTACAGGCCATTATCCTAAGTTAATTAACTCAGAAACAGAAAACCAAATATTGCATCTTCTCACTCACAAGTAGGAGCTAAGCTATGGGTACCCAGGGTCATACAGAGTGGTATAATGGATACTGGAGACTCAGATGAAGAGTGTTGGGAGGAGGGTGAGGGATGAAAAACTACCTATTGGGTGTATGTACACTATTCAAGTGACAGGTACACTAAAAGCCCAGACTTCACCACTGTACAAATCATCCATGTAACCAAAAACCACTTGTACCCCTAAATCTACTGAAAAAAATTTTTAAGTGACCAAAACAAATTTCCAGATCTCTGACGCAAGCCCTGTTCTGGAAACAAACGTAAAAACCCACATCTTTAGGTTGAGCGCAGTGGCTCACACCTATAATCCCAGCACTTTGGGAGGTCGAGGTGGGCCCGGCGGATCACCTGATGTCAGGAGTTCGAGACCAGCCTGGCCAACAGGGCAAAAGCCCGTCTCTACTAAAAATACAAAAATTAGCTGGGCATGGTGGCAGGCACCTGTAATCCCAGCCACTCAGGAGCCTGAGGCAAGAGAATCGCTTGAACCCGGGAGGCGGAGGTTGCAGTGAGCTGAGACTGCGCCATTGCACTCCACCCTGGGCAACAAGAGCAAAACTCTATACCAGAAAAGAAAAAAAAAAAAAAACTACATCTTTCAGAGAAGTTAGAATTCTCAGCACCTGAAAAGGAGAGACATAAAGGAGGAAAAGCTGGAAGAAGGTACTCAGATTTGACAAATTTCAGTTTTAGTCAATTTTTTTAGGGATGATCTCAAATAAATGTGAGAGAATGGGCTGGAAAGTAGCAGAGGCAACCAGGGTAGAGCAATGGAGAGAACTATGTTTTTATCAATCCCTGTCACTTCCCAGGATAGAAAACCCAATGTACCATTTGTGACGTGCAAGATGAATTACTCCTATCTTGTTATGACGTGAGTTTACAGGAGAATAATTCTTACCTGTAACAGACAACGATCTTGGAAAGTATATCCTATCAACTTGTCCAAATGCATTAGGCACTGGTGGTAGCGGATATGATGGGTCAGAACAGGTAACATCATTGCATGCTAGGAAAAAAAAAAAAAGTATTCAATATGTTTAACTTTATAAAAACTTATAAAGTCACTTCATTTGTTTTACAACAAGTCAGAACCATTTTCACATTCCAAATTCCATCTCACTAAGTCCTCAAACAGCTTATTGGCTTCATGGCATTCGGAGAATCCTCTGTGAGAGACTGTAGCTGTTGAGAGTATATAGTCTCTAGAATCAGAATGCCTGGGTCCAAATCCTGCTCTGCCACTTATTATTCACTGTGTGACCTGGGGCAAGTTATCTTACCTCTCTGCTTCAGTTTCCTCATCTGCACAATGAGAATAATAAATATACCTACTTTCAAGGATAGCTAAAAGGATTAAAAGAGGAAATACAAAAATCTTCTTAGAACAAGGTCTGTTAGCCCTCATTCCATTAGGAATAGCCCTGGTTCTATCAGTATTCAGCAGGGTAGCTTTGAGTAAGTCACATGCATTTCTGTGCCTCCTTGTCTACCTTTAATTAAAGGGGAATGGATTAGGATTCATTCATTTTGAAACTTTTTTAGGCTCAAGATATTTTTGAGAATCCAAGAAAAATGATTCTTTCCCCAGAAAAATGTCCTTGTGCACAAACATGCAAAAGTTGTACACAATTTTAATGGGTTCACAAACCCCTGAAGCCCATGATTATCCTTTAAGAGCTTCTCAACCAGATATGCCACCCTAGGTTTAACATTTAATGATCTAACATTCTGAAGACAATTTTTAGAAAGACACCAGTACAGTTAAGGTACCCAAGGACACAGAATTTAAATTTTTCCTTCAATCTCTTTTCATTTGGCTATAAATTCCTTATTGGGAGATAATTTCATGGAAGGCATATCTTTTTCTTTTCCTTAATACTGTTCCCAAGAACACAAAAGAATGTAGGGAGTCATTCTTATTCATCAGAACCTGGAGGATGGACCCAGCCCACAGAATGACTGACATATGCTTTATATTATTTCCGTCTTTGAAGTATTTTAAGCTGGCATTGTTTAAAAGTACATGAAAATGGATTTGCTTCAAACTATAGAAATTAGTTATGTTATTAACTTATAAAGAAAGATTCATTCTACCAAATAGGATCTCTAATCAACAAAAAATCTTTCTTGCCAGTTCAATTCAGTAAGTATATAATTGAGCACCTCCACGTGCAAGGCCTTACAATATGTGTGGGAGACAGAAAAGGTGAAGACGTTGTTTTTGCCATTAAAGCTAGAAATATGCCATTAGAATTTTAATTATCAGCACTTTAACCACTTTGTTTTTATAAGTGCTGTATTGATAAACACAACAATATGGAAACAACATGCACAATCAAAGTATAATAGCTTTCCAGCCATTTAAACTGCAGGAAGCTCAAGAGTTGATGCTAAAAACTCAAGGTGGATAGGACATGGGTTAGGACATGAAGACTACTCAGTGCAACTGCCTTTTCTAAAGCATGAACTCAACCTGGTGAATTGTTTACTTTCCTAATATTTCCTATGAGAAATGAATCGCTGCCTGTCAGGAAAATAAAACCCTCTTTAGAGTCTGCTGATTATTTAAAAATTACCTTTTTTTTTTTTTTTTTGAGACAGGGTCTCACTCTGTCACCCAGGCTAGAGTGCAGTGACACAATCATAACTCACTGCAGCCTCGACCTTCCAGGCTCAAGAGATCCTCCCACCTCAGCCACCAAGCCCCAGCAGCTGGGACTACAGGTGTGCAACACCACACTCTGCTGATTTCTGTGTTTTTTGTAGAAATGAGGTTTCGCCATGTTGCCCAGGTTGGTCTTAAACTGCTAGGCTCAAGGTATCGGCCTGCCTCAGCCTCCCAAAGTGCTAAGATTACACAGGCATGAGCCAGTGCACCGGGCCCGAAAATTACTATTAACTTTAAGCCCAAATCTGTATCTTTGGAAGTTTTACCCCTTTAACCCGAGTTCTACCCAAAAACAAAATGCATTTAATGGCAGGCTTTCCACATCTTGTTTTAGCTAACCTACACCTTACTACCTTACTTCCTTTAACCTTTTCTCATGTAAAACAGCTTTGAATCCCTTAACCACTTTCTCTAAATCTGCTCCAAACAAAGCCTGTTTCTCCTTCCAAATAAACCTTTTGTGAGTACCATGGAAGGGTATAGATGACCCATCTCCATCTTGAATCCCAGACATCAAGTCTCAGTGTTACCTACAAGACTTTAAATTTCTAGCTCAGTTTTTAAAAGTATCAGTCTTTGCAATATTAAAATACAATCATCTTTATGTCTGGCATCTTTATGTCTGCCAACCGCTTTAATTAAAAAAAAAAAAAAAAAAAAGAAACTCAAATTCTCCCATAAAAACAGAGCAACTAGACTAGCAAAATGAAAGACCAATGAACATTATCTACATAAAAACTAAATGACAAGGTACCCCCTTGAGTCCCTAACTAAGAGTGGATGAGGAGAAAGAGCTATGTCTCAGCATCTGTGTGAGAGAAGAGACAGGCCCTGATAATGGAAGAAACTCAAAATTAACAACACATGTTCACCGGAAATAACCCAAACTGGAGAGAGCTCTGCCGAATCTAATTCATTAAGTGAATACGGGAGGACAGTCTAACTGTGCTGAAGACACCTGGGACCTACAAACACTCAAAACAAAAAAACAAAAGGTGAAGCTCCCTACAAGGTAAAAGGCCCACAATGAGGAGAAAGTGCTGGGAGTGCAAGCCACATTTCGCTAGAGAGGGATAATGAAAGGCAAAAGAGAGAAGGTCCAGACAAAAGCAGAGGAGAGAAGCGGAGGGGGCAGATCTTAGTGTGAAGCCATATTATTTCTTTTATCACTGCAAAAACAACAGGAGGAGGAGCTCCAGAACCATGAAAAACTATCCTGGCTTATACCCCCTTTCTAAAAGTACAGGAAAATATTTCATTTAGTTTACTTAATTTTTAAGTTTCTTAAAGAGCAACAGAAAAGAATCATGATCAAATCCCATTCAAAGATGTTTCTAAGAAGAGGAGTAGAATAACATCCTTGCTGATAATAAAAACATTCCAGAGGCTGGATGCGGTGGGTCACGCCTGTAATCCCAGCACTTTGGGAGGCCGAGGTGGGTGGATCACGAAGTCAAGAGATCGAGATCATCCTGGCTAACACGGTGAGACCCCGTCTCTATTAAAAATACAAAAAATTATCTTGGTGGCGGGCACCTGTAGTCCCAGCAACTCGGGAGGCTGAGACAGGAGAATGGCATAAACCCGGGAGGAGGAGCTTGCAGTGAGCCGAGATTGCGAGACTCTGTCTTAAAAAAAAAAAAGAAAAGAAAAAATTCCAGAGAAACATACCAATAACCTTCTAAGCAAAGAAATAAAACCATAGGAGGATTAACACAAATTACAAATAAATATTACATAAATTCGGAAATGAGATTAGAGGAAAGGAAGATTTGAAAAGAAGTGACAAAACTCAGGAAAAAGAAACATAAAAGGAGATAACCACTTCAAGACTAAACAAGAAGGAACACAAAATCAGATTAACCCAATGAATAGTGCTTTTGAAAAATAGAAACGAAGAATTCAAGAGAAAATGATGGATCCAGAAGAGAAGCAAAACAGATATGACACAATATCTTATAAGAAGATATAAGATGCAAGAAGTAATTACTACTTCTTGAATGAAGAATTCAAGAGAACATGATAGATCCAGAAGAGAAGCAAAGAAAATATAAGATGCATATAAGTGGAGTACTTTAAAAATCAAAATAAAAGAAAATAATGAAATGTGTAATACAAGAAAAAGAAAACTTTCCTGAGATAAAAGACAACTTGAAAGTATATACTGAAAGTATATACAGCATACCTGAAAAAATTAACTGAAAAGAGCTGAGACATATTCTAGCAAACTATTGGTTTCTAAAGAAAAAGAAAAAATCCTTTGGGCACTCAGACAAAAGGACCAACTCACTTAAACTCATATTGTTATCACACTTTTTTTTTTTTTTTTTTGAGATGGGTTCTCACTCTGTTACCCAGTTTGGAGTACAGTGGCATGATCTCGGCTCACTGCAACCTCCATCTCCTAGGCTCAAGTGATCCTCCCACCTCAGCCTCCCAAGTAGCTGAGACCACAGGTGTGCACCGCCACACCCAGCTAATTTTTTGTAGAGCCGGGGTTTCGCCATGTTGCCCAGGCTGGTCTCAAACTCCTGAGCTCAGGTTATGCACTTGCCTTGGCCTCCCAAAGTGCTGGGATTACAGTCGTGAGTACCTATACCTGACCATATTGTTACCACACTTTTGACAGCTATGTTTCATGCCAGAAAACAATGAGAATGTATTTAAAATATTAAAGAAAGAAAATGTGATCCACAGATTTTATATCCAGCCAAACTGACCGTTAAAATAAAGACCACAGTCAAACTGTGAGGAACATGCAGAAACTCAAGGACCACTGTTTCTATAAGGCCTTCTTGAGGAATGGTTTAGAAAATGAGCTTCAGACAAATGAGAAAGGGGAGGTGGGAGATTGACAATGACATATGATCTGATGATTACTTGCAAATATATTTTTATTGGTAGATAATCACAAAGGAGTCAATATAAGAAATAATTAAACATTCTAACACTGATTAGTACAACCATCAGAAAACAAGGGAGAATAAGAAATATATAAAGAGTAGGATGAGGTTGCTGCCTGCCTTATTAACTTGCAACAAAAGGATATCACTTCAAATTAGATGCCAGGTGACAGAGAGGATTATGGGAAGAAGCAGAGAGAAGCTACTTTTACTAAAAGACAACAAGATACACACACACACACATATACACATACACACAGAAAGAAAGAGAGGTAAGGGAGAAATGTAATTATACTATAAAGCTGTCAGTATAAAGGTAACCATTAGAATAAAAATACAAGTCTTCCTGAATACAAAGGATATAAAAAGGAAAAAAACAAAGCCAATATAATGGATTTCATAGTACCCACTAACATAAAACAGTTTTACAGACAG